ATCATTAGATACCTACACCTTGTAATTGGATACTAACAACTTAAACAAACTTATTAAACCAATATTCACATTTTTCCTTTAGGGGGAATCGGTTCCCTACTATGGGGGTATCGATTCCCTTATGACATTCTGGAAATTTTTGTTTGTTTGAAGGGGTATCGGTTCCCCTTGAATGGGTACCGATTCCCCTTGCCCAGAAATCATATTTTTGAGCTCGAAATTCACTTCATTTCAGCTTAAACCTTCATATTTTACTTCCTTTAATATTCCTAACTTCCATACACATATTTAAACTCATTTCTATTCCATAATCACTTCTTTAAACTCAAATTTCCATCATTTACATGGCATTCAAGAATCAAACTAAATTTTCAATGTGTTCTAATTCCAATTCTAACACTTCATACTTCTTAATTAGATTGATGACAAGTCAAATTCATCCATAAAACTTCAACAACCATACCATATCAAAATTTCATCTTAAAACTCATATTACAAATTCCTTCTTAATTCCTTTATCTTATTGTTTAAATCCCATATAAGCTTTCCTTAAGCTTATTTAATACCCAAAGAATCAAAACTAATTTATAAATTCAAGAATTAAGAAGCTGAAATTAAACTCACCCTTATGAAGTAAACCAATGGGAAGAAGAAAGAAGAAGAATGAAGCTTTCCAGATACTTCCTCACCCATAAGCTTCTCTCTTTAAATAAGAGATAAATATCTTTTACATAAAAAGACCATAATACCCTTTCAATTCTTCCATAATTACCATTTAATCCACTATCAAAATATTACACTTTAAATCCCTAAACTTTTTAATTTTTCCTAAATTGATCACCAAATTCTGAAACTTTTCAATTTAGTCACTAACCCGGTATTGCGGATGTTACACCAATGAGCTCATCAACAAAGCTTGACATAGATGAATGATGTAAATGTGTGGATGTTAAATTATATAGGTCATTGATTGGTTCTTTGCTCTATCTAACTGCAAGTAGACCGGACATTATGTTTAATGTTTGCTTATATGCTAGATTTCAATCATGTCCTAAGGAATCACATTTACTAGCTGTTAAGAGAATCTTTAGATACCTTAAGGACACTCCTAGTTTAAGACTTTGGTATCCTAGAGACTCTAGCTTTAGCTTGCATGCCTTTTCTGATGCGGATTATGGAGGATGCAAATTAGATAGGAAAAGCACCTCCGGTACTTGCCAATTCATTGGAAATATGTTGATTTCTTGGTTTTCAAAGAAACAAAATTGTGTTGCATTATCTACCACTGAAGCCGAATACATTTCAGCTGGTAGTTGTTGTGCACAAGTTTTATGGATGAAACAACAACTTTTTGATTATGGAATTGAAGTAGGTACCATTCCTATCAAGTGTGACAATACTAGTGCTATTTGTCTCACTAAAAATCTCATCCAACACTCTAGAACTAAGCACATTGAAATAAGACATCACTTCATTAGAGACCATGTCACTAAGAAAGATGTAGTTCTAGAATTTGTTGATACTTTGCATTAATTAGCGGATATCTTTACAAAACCTTTAGACAAAGAACGTTTTTGGACACTTAGGAGAGAATTAGGTTTAACTGACCTATCTTCACTTAGTGTTTAAAATAATTTTAGCACTTTTAAGAATAAATGAAAAATGCATATAATAATATTTTTGATTGCATTCATTACTTTTAGTTAGGGGGAGTTTATGATTCTTGGTGAAAATTAACTTTATGTTCAAATAAATTTTAATGATAAATTTGATTGATTGAACATGATTAATTTTCAATATATGAGTTGCCAATACCACTAGAGAAAATTAATTTAGCATTTTGAGTGTTTAAAAATCAAATTTTAGCAGTTTTAGTGTAGAGGGAATCGATACTCCCTTGAAGGGGAACCGATTCCCCCTTTGAATGGGAACCGATTCCCTCCTTGAGAGAATTGATACCTCCCGCGGGTTCTGGATATATCACGACCAGAAAACCCATTCTCTCAAAACCTCTCTTCTTTCTTAAACGTCGTTCATCCTCTCTTTCTCTCTAAATCTCCATTTTTGCCAAAATCATCAAATACAAGTCGGAATTAGATCATTCTTCAACTTCTAATCCTTGCAAACAACATCACATTCTCATAAAATCCAAATTTTCAAGGTAATATTTCAAAATCCTCTATTTCATTGATTGTTTAACTTAGGACTAGTTTTGATTAGTTCTAAGATGAACATTACATCGGGCATTGGTTATATGATGATTTTACAACCAATTTCGTCAAAAACACTCAATTTTTCAAAACTATCTTTAAATTTTGAAATAAAAAAAGCGAAAATTGTTGTTTTAATTGATGTTTTTGATTTAATTATGTTTTCTTAAAAACTATACGTATTATGATTTTCAAACATTATTTTCCAAATAGTCTTTCAAAACATTGCCCTTTAGGATTCGATTTAGAGAACCTTGAAATATTGAGGACTCATTTGAGTTTTGGGTTTGATTATATTGCATACATGTGTTTAAATTTACAGGTTACATATTCTATTCTGATTCTTAAACCATGTCAAATCCTAAACGACCTAGGATATTGTCTAGTAGCTCAAGTCAAAATCGACCTCTTATTCCTCTACCCAATCCAAATAACCCAAATATGACCATTATGAACTCTTGTTTCAACGTACCTGGCTGTGGACAAGATCTATACCATATGTATCATACTTGTTTTGAGTCATATAAAATCTGGAAGAGCGTATCCCTTCGATCCAAGCTATAGAAGATATGGACTTCCAATATCTTCCTACTCTTAAATCCTAGAAGTTTGATAAACTCTTTAAACTCAAACCTTTGGTTTATCATCAATTAGTCTGCATTTTTCTATTCCAATATGGTATGTGTCCAAAACGAGCGCCGATCTGAAACTATAGGAATTCGAACCTATATTTTAGGACAATTCATTTTTATTGACTCCGGCACAATCGCTACCCATTTTGGACTAGATAACTCAGGTTTAATGAAAAAGAGACTGTGGATTCACCCTATAAGTCTAAGGATAGTGAGAGTACCCTAAGAACTCATCGTGATAGATTCCTTCATTATTTGATCTCTTGGTGGTTTAGACCATCCGGAGGTAGGTACTCATCCCTTAGGAACATAGATATATGGTGGATATATTGTATCCAACATAAAAAGAAGATTAATCTGCCACAAATCATCTTTACTGAGTTTCCATAAACATTGTTCATTCCAACAATATAGAAACCTTGGTTTATGGTTGTATCCTTAGTAATTTGTTTATCAAACTCGGTCTTTGGGTCAATGGGTTTATAGTCCCGAACTCAGAACTTTTAATTGTGAAACATTTTGATGTTCATGGATTGTTTTATTTTGGGTGTTTGAATTTGTTAGATAATTGGATATTTGAACTTACATGCTTATATATTTGGTTTGATTTTCACTTTCATTTTGAGCTTAATGTTTATTTTTGCATCATTTACATATTACTTGCATTATGACCAATTTTTGTCATTTCACATTGTTTATGAATATTGAATTATGGAACTAATGACTAATCTTTCTCTTGATTATGATCTTAGCAGCTTACGCTATATTTAGTTATCAATTGGCTAATTGTTTTTCAAAAACTTATTTAAAACCTTTTAAAGGTCCAATTGGCTAATTATGGAACTAATGTTTGTGTTTTTAAATGTTTGTGTTTTTAAAGGGGAGAAGTGTTAGAGTAAGGGGGAGTAATTTCAAAAATTGATTTCAAAATCTTAAAATTACTAAAATGTTTTGTTATATCAAAAAGGGGGAGATTGTTGAAAACATTTTGATATTTCGATATAACAAATTAAGATAAATGAATTTTAAGATTTTCCAAAAAGATTTTTTAAGTATATTCGATATAATTATTCGAATATCAAAATATTACTCCAAATCTTTCAAAAGTCATTTTAATCCTTACTCAAGTGTAAAATTAAGTTTTAATCTTAAAATTATTTCAAAATAATTTTACAAAGTATTTCGAACCGTTTCAAAGCCAAAAATTCCAGAATGTCCAGAGGGAACCGATTCCCTCCCCCCAAGGGGGTACCGATTCCCCCCTGAATGGTTTGGCTCCGAGAAAAATAGAATGCTCGGAGGGAACCGATTCCCCCCCAGAGGGGTACCGATTCCCCCTGATCAACGGTCGAAATATTTGAATTTTACACTTAGGGAACCGATTCCCTATGAGGGGGTATCGATTCCCCCCACGCTCCAAGCTATTTTATTAATTGATTTTACACTAAAACGGCTCCATTGACTCTACAAATCATCCCCAACATTCAGAATCAATTAAAGGAGTATTTAAATAAGCTTAGAAGCCATTGATCAATAACAAGAAACAACAATTATCAAGAATTGAGAGAGAATCAAAGAGAAAGCATCAAACTCATTGTTTGAGCACTTCAAGCCTATTTTTCATTCAATATTCATTGTTCTTTCAAGAACACCATTTTTGCTCTATTGTATTTATCCTTAAGTGTTCTTTCTTTGTTCTAGAATTGTGCAAACAATCTACCTTGTGAGGTTTTCCTTGTAAGTTTGCAAATTTATGTATTTCTCTTTGAAAAAGAGTGTGCTCAAGAATTTAGGGTATAATTCTTGAGGGAGTTGTAAGGTTACTCTTTGACCTCAAAAGAAAGAACAAATTAGTGAATTTGTTGGAAAATCCTTAGTGTGGATAGCTAAGGTAGTGGACGTAGACTTTGGTTGAGAAAGTCAAACCACTCTAAATCGTTGTGCAAATATTTTCAATTTTCTGCAAAAGCTTCCACTAATTTTTTTACTGCCAATTCACCCCCCTCTTGGCCAATTCCATCGATCGATTAACTCAACGAATAAGCTCCAATCAATCTAAAATAAATGCAAGCTAAAACAAAGCTAATCTAAAACATATTGGTAGTTTTGATCTTCTTGCAGCAGATGTTTGTTGGAGGGGACTTGTATTGCGACCAACCTGACCCTTGCATGTTCTGACATTATGTCCAGAACCCCCACACTTTCTACATAATATTTTAACTCCCTTCTTTGTCACCCTACGAGTATAAGGGGGTGTTTCATCAGCCTCCCTTCTTCTGTTCTTATGTGGTCTTCCCGGTGGCCTTCTCAAGGTATGTGGTAAGATAGACTCCATTGTTTCAATAGGAGTCCACTGATTAGGACCTCTAACCGGGTTGATAAAATGTGAGTATATGTCCATTTGGGTTTTCACTAAGTAGCATTGGTCCAGAAAGTTTTCTGGGTTTTCATGATTCATGACTATGACAGAAATTGCATGTATACAAGGAATACCTAGATTAAAAAACAATTAGTTATTATAAAAAATAAAGAAAAGAAAAGAAATATCATTATATTAATAAAACATTAAGTTACCTGTTAGTTCACATTTTCTACATAAACAAGTTCTAGTTTCAATGTTGACATAATGCTGATTTGAAGGACCACATGAAACTTGGTATGTTGGTACACCAACATGAATGGGCCAACAACTGTACAAGAAAAATATATATAAACATAACACAATTACAGTCTGCACTAACAAGTTATGTAATAACAGTATTCAATTATTCCAATATGCAATAACAATATGCATGAACAATATGTAATAACATTATGCATGAACAATATGCAATAACATTATGCAGTAACAATATATAATAACAGTATGTATGAAGAATATGTATTAGCAAGTTAACCAAAGCATACAAAAGCATTACCAATATGCAATCAAAACAAATGGAAAAAATATAAAAAGTTATACCTATTTGCTTGTGATATTGCATTGCATAGTTTCTTCTGAATTTTAGGGCATACAAACCCAACAAACTTATTAGCTTGATCTTTTTTTTTTTTTGCAATTCTTTGCATCAACATTGTTCTAATGGACTCCAACAATGTAATAATTGGTTTGTCTCTAGCTTCAAGTATCAACTAATCACAAAATGAAAAAAAAACATCTTAGATTACATAATAACAATATTTTAAAAATTGTATAAATTGGTTTGTCATATTCACCTTATTGAAACACTCGCAAAGATTGTTTAACAGCATGTCTGACTTGGCTTTGAAAGAGAAGTGTGACTTTGACCACTGTTTAGGATTATTCTCTGACAACCACTTGTGTGTTGTCCCTGATAAAAGCTGCATGAAATAATTTATTTTTATTATACTCTTCATCAACATTAACACATGTAAAATAACAAGTTTACCAAAAATATATATACCTTTATTCCTTCCATGGCATATTCAAACTCTCTAACATATGTTGCCCTAGCAGCCATCCATAGTTGGTCCTTCAATGTTTTCCCCTTGTGATGACCATTGCTCTTAAAATTCGAATATAAGTGTCTCACACATGTTCTATGTTCTACATTGAGGAACAATTCTGCCACAGCTTCTACTAGCCCCTATACACAGCAAAATAAAAGATTAGAAATCAAAATTAGAATGATTTAAAATAAATAGAATTTTAAAAGTATGAGAATAAATACCTTCTGTCTATCAGTCATGAATGTCAATATGTGAGAATTATTCAACTCCAAATCATTACCCAGTAATTCTAAAAACCAGAACCATGATGATTGATTCTCACTCTCTACAACTACAAAGGCTAATGGATAAATAGAGTCATCTGCATCAACTCCAACAACGGCTAGTAGATGACCCCCAAAAAATCCCTTTAGGTGACACCCATCCAAACATATAATCAACCTATACCCTGATTTGAACCCATCATTCGTTGCTTGCATACAAATATAAACCCTCTTGAAAACTCTCTCATCCAACTGACAAACAGTGGTTGTGCCTGGATTTGTGTACCTAAGCTCACTTAGGTAATCATACAATTTGGTGTACTATTCTGTGTGGTTACCATGTAGCTTTTCAAGGGCTATACACTTAGTTCTAGAACACTTAGATGTAGATACCATGATGCCATAATCATTACACACATCTTGCTTAATAGATTTAACAGAATAATTGGGATCAACATGGAATGATTGAAAATATTGTTTTGCTACCCACTTAGCAATTATATTAGCATTTTCAAACCCCTTAAGACATGTATGTTCATCATTCAGTGACTTAATTTTCCAAGTACCATCACTAGGATCTATAGGGGTAAGTGGAGAGACCCATAAAACCCAAGGACAACCTGCCTTACATCTTACTTGGATTCTTCTGTTGTTATTTCTTCTAAACTTCACATTATACCTATTTTTAATTGCATACATTCTGATTTCTACCCTTAATATTGTCTTGTTAGCAAAGATTGGTCTAACCTTTAATTTAGGGTTTACAATATCTATAGTAATATTAAATTCAGGGTGTCTAGGCTTCCTATGTGAACCATCACCATCTGACTCATCTGCACTGTATAATGAGTCAAAATTTCCATCTTTAGAGTCACTAACAACCCTCATTTCATTAGCTTCCACCTCAGTATTCAAATCACATAATTCAACTTCTGAATTTTCAAAGTCATTATCACTACCAGAAAAGTCAGATTCTTCACTACTTATCTGTGGGGCTTCATACTCAGAATCTATCCTCACCTCAGTAGGTTCTGGTTCATCAATTTTAGGTTCATTAATTTCTAGCTCAGCTAGTTCTGGTTCATTAATTTTTGGCTCAGCTGGTTCTGGTTCATTAATTTCAGGCTCACCTAGTTCTGGTTCATTAATTTTGGGTTCACTAATTTCTGGTTCAACTGGTTCTGCTTCATCAATTTCAGGTTGATTATGTTCAGACCAGTGTTGATTATGTTCATTAAGTCTTTCAACGCCTTCCAAAAAAATGTGAATGTGATGGTCACTAGGTAAAACCCTAAGCATTTCAAGGATATCACTATCAGTTAAGAGTGGTTTGACCTCTAGTGGAATGTTTGACACTTGCCAAAACATCTTAAGTGAATAACTAATTCCTAATTTGGTTATCATATCAATAATTACAAAGATGAACATTTCATCAACATCACAGTTGTCAAAGTAGTCCACAAGTATACCAGTGTATTCCAGCCTTGGTCTCTTAACAAAAAACCCCCATGATGTACTAAAGTTGTAAATTTTCGAGAATTCAAATATGTTAATGAAAATATTTCACTATTATTCAAATAATTAAAGAATATTTAACTACAACTGAATATACTAACAATATATCAAAAGAGACAAAAAAGAACTTTTCAAATAATAGATTCAAGCACATAACATGTGGGGATCACATTCAAAATACTATACTAATAGCAACACATAACATATGGGGACCACAAAAATTGCAAAGTTACATGTTTGCATATGTGCACTGCAAAACTGATATAAATAGACAAATATAATATGTGAAAAAATTAATTACAAAAGTGCAAAAGTGATATTAATTCCATAAACCCCAACATAATATTCATGCAGTACCTATATTCATGCAAAAGTCAACATACTGAAATTCACTAAACACATATATTCATGCACAACATATACATGCAGTACTCACATTCATTGATTTCATGCAAAACATATATATTCATGCAAACAAATAATTCTATCACTACATATATTATATCAATAAACATAAATTATCCAAATAAACATACCAGAACATATACTTTATAAAATAGTAAGCATATATAGCTGTAAACCCATGTATACTAACAACAAACCCATTCGTGCAATCAGTAAGCAATAAGCATAAGAAAAAGCCATATAATCTCATATATACTATTCTCATTCGTGTAATCAGTAAGCATGAAAACCATTTATACTAACAGTAAACCCACTAAACTCATATAAACTCATATAAACTCCCTAACATATATACTAACATATATACTAACATATATACTAACAGTAAACCCACTAAACTCATATAAACTCATATAAACTCCCTAACATATATATTAACATATATACTAACAATAAACCCACTAAACTCATATAAACTCCCTAACATATATACTAACAGTAAACCCACTAAACTCATATAATCTCATATATACTATTCTCATTCCTGTAATCAGTAAGCAGTAAAACCATTTATACTAACATTAAGCAGTACACCCATATAAACTCCCTAACATATATAACATTTTAATATCAGAAACCACTAAACAATTGCAGAAGAAAGTTTTCAAATTTAACATAATAAAATAAGAGTTTTCAAATTTATTTTGAGGAGCTTTAAAAATATTTTTTTATACAGAAGAAGACCCTAAAGATTTTTTGAGCGCTTACCATATCTCGCGTTTGAGTCTTCTTCTACACGATAATATCTAATTGTTAAACGGAAGAAGACCTTAAAGATTTTTCGATCAAGCGAGTGTTTACCCAAAAACCCACAAAATAAGATTTTTTAAAATTTTCTAAGCCTTTCGATTACCCTAAAACCCAAGAAAGAAAATATCTTTGTTTCTCTAAATCTCTCAAAATCTCTCTAAACCAGTTTGATTTTAAGACGAGGAGGTTGAAGGTGAATGGGTTTTCACTCTTTCAACGAGTGTTATGCAAAAGGTATGAAGGTGAAGGCAAATGGGTTTTGTTTGAAAAAAACCTATTGGTTTTCCACGTGTGTACTCAGCTGGCATTAATAATAATATAAAAACATCACCGTTAGTTTATAACAACCATGTCGGACTCTCCGATTTTTTTTAACGGAGAGTGGTCTGATTGAATCAATTAAAAAGTTTGATGGTCGAATTGAGACAAAAAGTAGTTTGGTGGAAAGATTGATTAATGATCATAGTTTGGTGGTCTCCCGTGTAGTTTACCCTTACTAATTCAACGATATATTAGCCGCCATGTTTTCTAATATTCTCTTAACATGTACATTTGGTCAATTGGATTTGACACAATACCAAATAGACCTGTAATTTGTTGTATTTTCTCTTGACCTTGTGCGTAAATTGTGTTTTTATCTATTTTTTTCATCTAAGTTTTTGGAATTTCAAAAGATATTTAAAATTTTATACCCTTCAAGCGAAAATAATCTCTAAACATATTTATTAACTGATTACATGATTTGTTATAGTCAAATCTACTTAACTTATCAACCTATAAATAATCATCGCCACCATAAACCTCATACCAACACCAAGTGTTTATTTATAATTCACTATGCAAAACTAGAAAAAGGAATTTAGACTCTCTATTTCTCTCAACATCTCTCACTATTAATTATCTTTTCAAATCGTTTATTCTTTATTCTCTTTATAAATTCATTGACTATAATTTTCCATCCAAATTAAAAAAAAATGAACCGTGACATTTCTCCCACCACAAGTTAACTCTTCCGTGTATTCATTTTGCAATATGCCAAGGGTAGCACTTTCATCTTTTAAGGGCACAACAAAGTAAATGATAGAGTATCCACATCAATTTCTAACTCTAATGGAATCCCATTTCCTCCGTAATCCATCCTGTCGCCCACTACATAGCAAGGGGTTTGTGGATTGTAATGGCAAATCCACTAGCGATTGATATGATACCCAACAAAGCATATATATTTTCAAACTTTCAATGAATATAAACATCAAACTGCTAACTGAGTACATATGCGAAGGTGCTTATCCACAGAACCAAGAACTGTGTGTATGTATTGCTATCAAAACATTACTGATGAACACCGCGATTGCCCAAGTCAGCTGCTGCTTTAGCTGCCCGTTCTAATGCATCTGACACCCAAAGAGCTCCCTGGGAAAAATAGCTGCTACTGACTACAGTTTTTCCAGCAGCAGCAGCGGTTCTTCCTGCAGCAGAAATGGCTGATTTAGTGTTCTCCAATACATGGTATCTCTCATCCACAGATCTAACAGCACCAACACCCACACGAAGTTTATCTGTGAGGCCAATCCTCTCACTTAGTTCAGCAACTTTAGCTGCAGTGGTTGCCGAAACCTGATGAGACTCATCAAAGGCTTGGGCTTTGCTTAAAGCATCTTTGCCTAACACATATCCATTGGCCAACATGGCTTTCACAGCATCCTGAGCGAATGAAACAGCTTCTCCAGCATGAGATACAAATTGGCTTCTTAGTGGAGGTTGCTACAAAAGGGGGCAAACAAATGAGAATATAGAATACAATTTACTAAATTAAAATTCACAAGGATCAATTCAGGAGCACAAAAAAGATAAGTGAACTTACCCATGAACTTGCTTCATCTTCTTGGCTTCTTGAAGGGCCAGTAAAATCAAATTCCTCTTCATATTGCCCCCAGCGCGATATGAATATACGATGATCAAGAAGTGTCGCACCCTACAATGATAAGATATTCTAAGAGTAAAAATACAAACAGATTAAACAATCATCATGATGGAGTGGGAAGCACAATTCATGAATTAGATCCAATATTATCCTGAAAACAAATAGTAGCATGTGAAAAGGAATGGAACTAAATAGATCAATAAGATATACTTCACTCAAAGGTTAATTGATGCAGTCATAGGTTAAAATGCCCAAAGGTTGATATAGCAATAAAAGACAGAGATAAAGAGATCACACAACAGAAGTAACATCAACAGGATAATCATCAGTTTTAAAAAGAACACCAGGATCATAACTGCAGGAAAAAAGCTGTACATGTATAAATCCAATATGATATATTTTCCTCAAAACATGAATGGACATATTCTGAGTTCAAGGTAATAGTCCTACTATTGAACCAGGGTAGAATACTTCTTTCTTTTTAGTATAATCACCAGTATCTAACATATTGGCCGACTAATCAAAATTTGGTACTGCTGAGACCCATTATAAGGACGACACTCTCAACCATATTTGTACCATTCTCAATATCAGGATTAGAACTACTGACCTTGCTTAAGAGACCAACACATCATCCTGCTAGACCAATTGGTAGTTGGTAAAGTAGAATACTTCTTTTAATTGTTTATATTCACTTATTATCGATTTGCCATGTAATATCGATTTTTGAAACTACAATTACAAGTTCAATACATTAAAACGCCTCCCATAAAGTGCAGATATATATTCTCTTGAATCCATTTCATATATAATCAATTCGATAGTATCCATTTCATACTCGATTAGTCTACACCAGTCACATAAAGTTCACCTTTACTTATACCAGAAAAGTGATGTAGGCAATAGATTTCATGATAAAATAGGTAGATTTATAGATGCAAAGATGAAAGCTGCCCTGAAGGCAATAATCTAAAAGGTAATCTAAAGCTTCTGAATGAAATAATCGGAATACATACAGTAAGCAAGATAGCAGTCTCCTGAGAATAAGCATCTTTGAATGTCACATAGGCAGTGCTTGCATATTCACCAGACCTGCTTGCATCCAAAAAAAAAAAACCCAAATGACTACCTTCAAGAATATGCAAATAGGAAGGATAAATATAACAACACAGTTAATTATGATGGAATGTTCCAAGTACCTAACAATTTCAACATGCTCAATGGCACCAGAGAAGGCGAAAAAATCATAAACATCTTTCTCAGTAGCTTTGGGAGACAGGCCAGTCACTTCTACTGTATATCCAAAATCATTCATTTCTACAAGAAAGACTGCTGATCGAGGATTTCAACCTAGTCAAAAAGATCACGAAAATTGAGCTTTAAAACAAGACAATTATACAGAAATTCAAGAATCATGAGAATGAACTGAAATTAAATTGATGGAATTGGAAATAGGAGAATGGAAGAACAGTTAGTAACTAATCATGCACAAAAGTAGAGTTAATTTGATAATTAATTTCGTAAAATAATTAAGGGGAAAAAAAAAGCGAACCTGAAGAGATTAGAGATTGAGATTTCAAATGACGGGGAGGAAATGAGGAGCGCGTGAACCGGGGTTTTACTAGTCCCTCATGGTTTGGTGATTACTTTAGTTTTGAAGGCGGTTTCAGCCCATTTTTATTTTCTGATCCAATTTGGGTAGTTTTCACCCGTTCATTAGAATAAATAATTTTTTGGTAAAGTTCACAAATGTTCTATTGACTATTAAAAGTTATAAAATGATCTCTTAATTATTAAAAGTTATAAAATGATCATTTGACTATTCATATATTCGAAACTCATCATTTTCTATTGAAAAATTGACGCTAGTCTCAGCTAGATATTAATATGCTGATTGGATATAATAAAATCATATTTTAATGATGTCTACTGACCCTATCGAAAATTTGTATGGTACTAAAAAAAAAGAGGGAGTGGATGCAAATCCAAAGAGAGATCATAATGAGAAACTGAAAAGGGATGCTTGAATGGAAGCTCCTGCTTTAGAGTTGTAAGCATATCCAAAGATTTATTTTTAAAATTTGATTCAAAGTGTGAAATTTTAATTTTACCAAACATATATTTATAAATCAATAATAATTTGTTCATATGAAAATTGATCTCCAAAAGGCTTTTGACTCAATCCACTGGGGCTTCATTTCTGTTGTACTTAAGGCATTAGAGTTACTAAGTAAATTCATTGGGTGGATTGAAGCTTGCTATGTTGATGTGAGATATTCCATCTCATTCAATGGAAGCTTGATTGGCTACTTCAAGGGTGCTAAGGGAATTAGACAATGTGATCCTCTTTCCCTTATTTTGTTTGTTCTTGCAATGAACGTTTTATCCAAAATTCTCAATATTGTTGCTACTGGAGGGATGTTCGGCTTCCACCCTAAATGTAAGAAGATAGGCCTCACTCACATTTCATTTACTGATGGCTTATTAATCTTCTGCAAAGGCAACCTTAAATCTATTACGAGAGTCATTACAGTCCTGGATTGCTTTTATGAATTATCTGGTCTTAGGCTTAATGCTGCAAAATGCGAATTATTCACTACAGAAATCTCAGTTCATAATCTTGAGACTATTTTAAACTTTCTAGATTCAAACATGGTTGCTTGCCTGTTAGATACTTGGGGGTTTCCCTCGTCACAAGGAAACTTTCTGAAAAAGACTTTCAGGTCCTAATTGACAAGATCAAGTCCAGAATTCATCAATGGTCAAGAAAGAATTTGAGTTATGCAGGCAGACTTGAACTGGTGAAGACTGTCCTTTTCAATGTTGCTAATTACTGGTGCAGGCAATTAATCTTGCCAAAATATATTATCAACAAGATTGAGTAGCTTTTCTCTAGATACTTCTGGAAAGGTTATGATAATTCTGCTGCTGGAGCCAGAGTTAGTTGGGAAAATATTTGCTTGCCAAAATCTGAAGGAGGTCTCGATCTTAAGGACATCAAAACATAAAATAAATCATGTAGGTTACACCCTATTTGGAATATTCTTGCGGGGGAGGGCTCCTTGTGGGTAGCTTGGATCAATAATTACATAATCAAGAATCAGGAATTCTGGCTCATAGAAGAAACATCAAGTTCTAGTTGGTGCATCAGAAGAATTTTAATTGAAGCTTCGAAATGTTGCTCGACCAGTTTTGTCAACAGGAGCAAAGAATGCTAAAGAAATTTGGGAAGAGGTTCAGACCAAAGGTATCAAACCCATGGCAAAAACTGATCTAGTTTCCCCTTCATATCCCTAAACATAACATGATTTCCTGGATGATAATTTTGGATAGACTTCCAACTAGGGAGAGACTTTAACGTTTTGGATTAGTAAATAATAGGCAATGTGTTATTTGTAAAGAAGCTTTGGAAACCACAGACCATCTCTTTGTTGAGTGCAAGATGGTTGCTATCATTTGGAGCTCTATTCTACACCTCTTTGGCTTGAGCAGACATTCTTTGACTTGGGTTAACTTATTTGATTGGGCGTGCAATGCATGGAAAGGTAAATCTCTTCTGACAACTATCTTGAAGCTTGTTTGGTGTGCCTTCAATTATTTCATATGGGAGGAAAGCAACCGAAGACTGCTTAGAGGGAACTCCAAATGAGAGGATGAAATTTTAAATTCCATTAAGGAGATTGTAGGAGCTCAACTAAGTAATAGGAATGTTAATAGATTAGATAGCACTAATTTAACACTTTGTAATCAATGGGGTATAGTTTAATTTTTTGTTGTAAATAGGTTTCCTTCTTGTTCCTTGATTGGATTGTTTTGTAGCAGTTTACTGCATTCTTGGGTAATAAAATTTTAATTATCCAAAAAAAAAATTGTTCATATTTTTATTTCTTAAATTATTCATGACATTTTAATTTAATATTTAGCATTTCTTTTATTAAAATTTTATGTACAAATAATTTAATATAATATTTATTGCATACGTTATAATATTATTTTTTATAAGAGAATTGCAATGTACTGGTAAATGATCGTAAGAAAATCATAAGAGAAGGTTGAGTTTGTAAGATCAGACATATATGGTGAGAAGAGAATAAGTGTATGAACTGTTTGGCTAATATAGCGACGGGTCAAGAAAATAAATTTTCCATTTTCACATATCCACCAGAAGAATTAAGACCTCTGTTAGAGGCAGACGCTAGAGGGGATGGTGTGTTAAGGATGTAATCCTGTGTATTTCAGCTTATTGTACTAAAAAATAATATTATTTATTATTATAAATTAAATTTACGTGTCGAGTAAAAAGTATATGATATAAATAAATTTTATATATTATAAATATAAAAAAATAAATCAAATTGAATTGGGAATAAAAACTTAAATTTAGTGACGGTTTTTGAGAAAAATAGTTTGGTTACCAAAATATAATCATAAGAATAATTTTTACCCTTGTATTTTTAACGGAGTTAACAATTTGAGACAAATAAAGTAACAATTTAAATTTTAGAGAAAAAATGTCTCAATTTTTTTAAAAAATAATTCGATACAAATAATATACTTTAAGAAATAATAATACATTTAAGCCTTTTTTTTAAAAAAAAAATGAACAGGTGATTTAGAGGCTATTGCATTTGCAGCTCTCAAGTCTCATCAAGGATATATAACCCAACAGGTGAGTAACCCAATGTAAATAAGCAAAACATTAAAAATTAACATAATCCTACCCTTTAAAGCCCTAAACAGAAAATGCACTTTGGGCCTTTCAAAATAAAGCAAGTTACAAGGAAAAAAAGTATGGTGTTTAATCAGTTAGTTCAGTTAACCGATCACATTAAATTATTTAAATTTTATTAATTTATATTTTTCTTTTTAACCGTTAATCAAACTAATTTTTTTTTTAATTTTTTTTAATGAAATCATATAAAGTTTAGTTAATTTGTTCAGTTATCTGAATTTATCGAAATCTTTTGTAATATTTTTTAGTTAGATTAATTTAAATTTATAAGAAGTATTTTTTCTTCATTTAGATTAAAATTTTGATTGGCTATTAAAAGTTTAATAATCTAATGTGATTAAAAATAGTTGGATATTAATTCTTAAAGGATTTGAGCTTAAAATATATGTGTAATATATATAAAACATAATTTTTTTTAACGATTTCAGTTAATTAACCGATTTCAAACCAAATTAATCAATACCAAACTTTAAAAGTTTTCTTAACCATTAACCGAGTTAACATCTAATTAACTAATCGATTTATTGAACTAAATTTTAATTCGATCAATTAATTCAGTTAAAACCGAACAATAAACACATCCTTAAACCGAAAGTCTCTAAAACAAAACAGATGCAAAACATAATTTTTTAACGATTTCGGTTAATTAACCGATTTCAAACCAAATTAATCAATACCAAACTTTAAAAGTTTTCTTAACCATTAACGAGTTAACATCTAATTAACTAATCGATTTATTGAACTAAATTTTAATTCGATCAATTAATTCAGTTAAAACCGAACAATAAACACATCCTTAAACCGAAAGTCTCTAAAACAAAACAGATGCAAAACATAATTTTTTTTAACGATTTCGGTTAATTAACCGATTTCAAACTAAAATAATCAATACCAAACTTTAAAAGTTTTCTTAACCATTAACCGAGTTAACATCTAATTAACTAATTGATTTATTGAACTAAATTTCAATTCGATCAATTAATTCAGTTAAAACCAAACGATAAACACATCCTTAAACCGAAAGTCTCTAAAACAAAACAGATGCAAAAGATAATTTTTTTAACGATTTCGGTTAATTAACCGATTTCAAACTAAAATAATCAATACCAAACTTTAAAAGTTTTCTTAACCATTAACCGAGTTAACATCTAATTAACTAATTGATTTATTGAACTAAATTTCAATTCGATCAATTAATTCAGTTAAAACCAAACAATAAACACATCCTTAAACCGAAAGTCTCTAAAACAAAACAGATGCAAAACATAAATTTTTTAACGATTTCGGTTAATTAATCGATTTCAAACCAAATTAATCAATACCAAACATAAATAGACACATCTTATAATATTGACTTCTTTGAATGGATTATTTTTTCTTATATTAAAATATGTTCTGAATTTGTAATTGTATATTTTAACCTAAATTATAGTTAATAATTAAGTTAGATTCTATTATAATTTTAGTGGTTCAAAATTATTTGGTAATTGAGTTTATTTAACAAATAAATATTACTTATTTTAGACAATAATTATTATGGAATAAAAATTCTCGGTGATCAAACATTCAACTTTATAAATACAGAATATGTCTTAGCCTTTAGAATTAGATGAGAAATAATTATTTTAGAGAGATATAATATTTTTGTGATCTCTGTAACTTTTGAGATTTATGTTGTAAAGATATTGAAAGAGTGATTTGAGATATTTCATATTTCGATATAGGTACAGAATTTTAAGATACATGAGATTATATCTATATATCTATAGTGAATTATTATTGTTCTCATTAGTAGAAATAAATAAGACCAAATCACGTTAAATCTTATATCTCGTATGTATTATTTTATATTGATATCGTTTTAAATATTTTTCGGTTCCAGATGTCTGACAATAACCCTTATCGTTTCTTTCTGTATTTATTTTTTAGAAAATAAATTTGACGGCTGATTTTGTCCAAATAAATTAAATATGTTGAAAACCAAGTATGACGAATTCACGGGTTCAAAATGCAAAACTAGTCGAAAAGAATGGTTATCGATAATGGCATAGGACGCTGGAGCAGAATTTGGTGTGCCGCAAAATCACGTGTCAGCGACTCCCGTCAGCCTTTTGAGGCTGACCTTTCTGGCTCCACCACTTCTCAATATCTAAACAGTCCTCCATTAACACAAAAACACAACGTACTTTGAAACTTTGCCAATTCCCATGTTCATTGAACCAACATATTCTTCAAAATATAACAAATTTCTCTCTTTGTTCAAGGAAATAAAGCACTGATCGTGCTTAATTATTATTTAAATAGACTTGAATAATATACAAAGTCTGTAGATGACAAGAATCATATCCTTGTTCTCTGCAATCTGCATTACTACTACTGATGAAACAGCATCAAATCCTTAGACATGGAAATATTTTTAAGTAAAAACCGAAGGTGCTGTGCTGAAGGCTGAATATTATTAGTATTACATAAGTAAACTTCTGATAATGGCTGCTTGGTCGCTATCGCTGTCTGTGGAAGCTAACAGCTGGGATAACCGGTCGCTTAGGTCGTCCACTTCTCTATGTAAGCTCCTGATATAGTTGCAAGTCTCCTGTAAGACCTTGGAAGATGATACCTGAATATAAAATTAAAAAAAGAATGATTAAGCTAAGCCCGTAATGAGATTTTTTGGAACATGAAATTAAATTAAGTTTTCGATGATATATTTGAGTGTGATGGGCTGTAGATTACATGACGTTCTAAAAAGGAACAGGTTGAGTCCCACACCTTCAACTTGTTTCCTAGATATGAGGCTTTGGGATATGCAAGACTTATCTACGAAAGTGAACCCAGTCCTCACAAAAGAAAGGATTTATTTTTAATATTATTCATTATTTTATTATTTTTTGAATTTCAAATGTAGAAAGAAAGAGAGAGAAATAGAGGGGAAGTGGGAAGAAGGAGAAGAATGTAGAAAGAGTGGTGGTGGTGGTGATTGGCACCTTGTTGAAGCGGCGTCGACGAAGCTCGGGGATAAGCTGTTGCAGCTTGGAAACAAGATCGGCGATCTGATCGTCGGTGATCCTGGAAACACTTGACTGCTTGGAACGTGATCTTCTGCCTGACATTGTGTTTAAACTGAGGATATATGCAACTCTTGATGGAGTTGTCAGCAGACAAAACCTATGAAAAATGGGAATGGGGACGGGAATAGGGTTAAGAATAAATAGAAAAGAGAAGTGCTTGGAAGACTACGTGGGTTATGCTGCTTCTTAAATAGGGTTGGCTATTTTAAGTGTGCATGCACCGAAGAAGGGGAAACAAGAAAAGGAAAGAAAATTCGTCCACTTGATATGATTTTCACCGCCAGTCATTTAGAGATTGGAGGGTAAGAATAAGATAAGATACCATTTCCATTGAAAACTAGATTTTGCTATGAAAACAAATTCCTCTTTTTACCATTATTTCATCAAATTACTTACATCCTTAACAAATACTTATATAATAAATGATTTGTTATATTATTTTAAAGATAATTAAATGTGAATTCATTGAGCGACTTTCATTGGTTAAAAAGAGTGTTGTTCTTTCTTGATGTATCGGGTCGAGCTGTTACATTTGCAGAGTGTATGCGTTATCAATAATTAAGAAAAATTTATGAACATATATTATCTAGTAGTTTATTTCAATCTATTAAAAAATAAAGACAAGCAAACGTGCCAATAGTTTTAGGGTTAGAATGCAACATGATTGAAATTATGTCTAACAAAAAGGGAAATTGAGAAATGTATGCCATACTGTCCTTGCCAAAAATGTCCCCAAACTGGGGTAGTAGGCAAAAGCAAGCGAGTTAAGGGCAAGATGTGATCTGCTCCATATAATCACCCAACTACGAGGCCCTCCTTTCAGTCTATTTGCCGTGCAAGCCAGCGTTATGCACTTATTTATATTTGAAATATACTATATTTTTATATATAAATATTTCTTTAGTTGATTAATTCTATGGTATGCTGATAAAGAATATCATTTAAATTTTAAATAATATCAAATCTTAAGTTTAATCCCAATAACTCCTCCCTTATTCAAAAAAATATTATTGTTCTCTCCTTTCAGAGTTCAACTTCGTTAAGAATATGTTTAATAACCTATTAAAAATTAATTTACTAAAACAATATTAATTTCAATAATTTAATATTTCAAAATTATAAATTTTCAGTAAAAAATTAGAGACTTATTTGTCAATTAATGAAGAATATTTTTAATTTTTTTATTTCTTAAAATCATATTATGCTTTAAATTTATATTTATAAAATAACCTAATTCTATCCCTATTTAGTTTTAAGTAAAATATTAAATAAATTTATCATTTAAATTTAACATTTTAATATTTAAAACTTAATTTATCAGATAATACATTAATATCGTTATTTGTTTTTCAAAATTTTTCAATTTCATTGAAAAACAAAATCTTCCTTCCTTAATTGATTTTTTTTCCTATTCGGCTGAGATAGTGATCAACATTTATTGAGTTAAATGGTAAAGATTAAGGGGTTTAATATACCTTGATCAAATTTTTATATGTAAATTTTATGGATGGAAAAAATAATATTGTAAGAATTTTACTTTTAATTAAATGTTTAATTATATCCGAATTCAAATGCAATTAAGACCCATATAATTATAAAATACTAAAATCTCAGAAAATAAAAGGATATATAATTAGAGGAGAATGAATTAACGTGATGGATAGGATTATAAATGAGATAAGATATATCGTAAATAACTCGATTAGATTTGTTTACAATATTAGTGGTAAGTCGTTGGGGTCTGAAAGTCGGAAAAAAAAAAAGGAATAGGGAAAAGAGGTAGCCTAATCGGGGAAGGTAAGGGCATGGTAGCGACTTTGTTGACCGCTCTGTGAGTCACGTTCTACGATCCACTCAATCCTCCCATCCCCCGTAATTTTGGTCACTATTTGCCACGTCTCCTCTCATAATCCATGCATGTGATATTATGTACATCTTTCAAAAAATGCAATCTGAGTCAAATTTAAAAATAAATAAATTATTGAAATTTATTAATATTATATTATTATTTAAATTTTATTTAATTTTTTTAATAAAATCGTGTTGACAAAAATTGAGTAAAATCAAATATATTTTTAAAGTTTTTATTTAAATTTGAATATAACTATTTATAATATTATGATATCGATTGATTTCAATTTAAACCAGTCTTTATAACCATATACAATATAAAAATATATTTTTTAAATATTTTTTCACATGTGTAAGATTTATGATATTATTTTGATAAATCAATTAAATTTAAAATTATATAATACATTTATAATATAATTATTTAAAGAAGAGATTTTGAGGACAATATATTGATGAGAGTATAAAAGAGGCAAAGAATTAATGAGAAGAAATAATTTACAAAGAGTCACAATCAAAGGATCAAATTGAATTAAACAATGGATTAAATTGAGAAAAGAAAAAATCTATAGTCAAAAAGAGGAAGTGAAGTTACACATATTATAGGGTAAACTACCTATTGGCCACCCACCTATTTTTTAGTTTCTATTTTGGTCATTAAACTATTATTATTTTTGAAATCATACATAATTTTATATTTTGTTTCTATTTTGGTCACTCATCGTTAAAAAATTGACTATAATGCCGACATGACATTTTAAAATTATTTTGAAATGATGATGTGGTATTATCTTATGGTGACATGTCAACATCACCGTTAATCTTTTAATGGCGTATGACCAAAATAAAACCAAAATGTAACATTAGGTGTGATTTTGAAAAAAAATAATTTGGTGACCAAAATAGAAACTAAGTAATAGGTGTGTGATCAAATAGATAATTTACCCTATCTTTTTACATCTTTGAGGAGCATGTAATTAAAATATCGTAAAAAATACTTAAAACGAATGATAAACTGAAAAGAAAAAAGAGAATTAAGAACCAAAACAAAAATAATCAAATTGCTTAGCTAAAGACCAAAACGACATTATTTTCATTTTCAAATATTTGAACTTTATAAATTTAAATTCGGCTTGAAATTTTACTTAATTTATGTTTTAGTCGCTCAACTATTTTCCCCCGAAATCATATATAACCTTACATTTTGGTTCTATGTTGACCACCTACCATTAAAAAATTAACATTGATGTTAACATGATATTTTTTTAATTATTCTTCAATCATGATGTGACATTATCTTATTATGACACATCAACATCGCCGCTAATATTTTTAAAATGAGTGATCAAAATATAACCAAAACGTAACATTAAGTGTGAATTAAAAAAAATAATATTTGGAAGACCAAAATAAAAACTAAATAATAAGTGGATAACTAAATAAGTAATTTACCCTTTTTTGGCATGGAATGGGCAATAACCTAGGCCTAGATACGCCCTTGTGAGCACATATATGCTAATAACCAATGTTTTTAAAATCGGACCGGACATTAAACCGGTGAAGGTACTGGTTCACTGGTTCAATCGGGTTCAATCGCGGTTGAACTGGATTTTATATAAAATAATATATATTTTTAATTTTATATATTCAAAGCAATATTAATATATATGTAACACTTTTTTTAAGTTTACAATATTAAAAGGTATAAAAATATCACAAGTCATAACATGTATAAATGAAAAACCATAAAATCAAGTGAAACAAAATGATTCAAATCAACAACAACATAATATTTAAGGTAAAACATATTAATAATAAATATAATTATATAACTATAATCAAAAAAATAAAATTGGGGCTTAAAAAAATTATAACAAATGATGTCATTTGGTCTAATTGTTTAAAAAAAACAATCCCACATGGCTAAGAAACATAGAAGAGTATCCCAAAAGTTTAAAGAGTAAAAATATGAGAACAAAACAATCCCATATGGCTAAGAAACATAGAAGAGCATCCCAACTACTTCTATAAATAATAGAGGTAATTTGACATTCAAAATCATGGAGCCTTTTGGTGAGCACAAAGCAAACTATTCTTTCGCTTCAATTGAGCTCAAATTTTAGGCTTCAATCGAACTTCTAAATTTTTTTTTGAGTTCGAGCCTTTTCGATTTCAAGTTTTAATATTATATTTTGAGTTGATAATTTTTAGCTCGTGAGTTTTTGAGTCGAGTTGAGCTTACTTTTAAAGTTTTCGAGTTCGAGTTGAGCTCAACAATACTCGAATTTGACTCGGCTTGTTGAACAAACGACGTCGTTTGGTTTAATTTTTTTTTAAAGAAAAAAAGTGAACCGGCGGTTCAAACTGGTTTTTAGCTGGTTCACCCCGATTTTCCTGGTTTTCAGCCGGTTCTGTGCTAATCCGGTTTTGGGAGTTAATCGGACCGGACATGCCACCGGTTCACGGTTCAACCGGTCGAACCGACCGGTCCGGTCCGGTTTTAATAACATTGCTAATAACATAAAATTTTTGAATGAGGTGGACACAAACAAAATCTCAATGTGGGTACCTTCACTAAAATAAGGGATGGAACTAGAAGGGGTGAGTAGCGGCGGTTGCCCCCTAAAATTTTTAAATTCCTATATGATTTAGATATTTTCTTTGTATGTTAAGTGAAAAATATGTTTTTCCCCTAAAATCTTATAAATTCGTCTCCCCTTTAAAATTTTATAAGCTTGCCCCCTCTAACAAAAAACCACGTGTCCATCCCTAACTAAATAAAAAAATTTCAGATTTCAATGTTAATCCTCAAATACATATGTACCTACCACTGCAAAACATATTCTTTTAGCTATGGTAAACAATTTATTCTTGGGTTTTGACAAGGTCAACTTTCCATGGAGTTAAAAATCACCCTAACACATAATTAAAAACCTTCAATAGGATTCTCTAAAAGGAAAAAAAAACTTTAATAAGATCCTTCAATAATGTAATTTATGGGATTCTCCACGATAGAAATCAATATATAGTAAAAAAGCATCAATATTGCAACAGTAGATCATACTATATTTTTAACAAGAAAATAAAATTTTAGATATATTTTTATATTTTTAATTAAAAATCTATTTTCGTTCTTTCCTAAAATTTTATAGGTTCGCTCTTCCTTGAAATTTTATAAATTTATTTTCTTAACGTAAAATCATACTCCGTTGATAAAAAATA